AAGCGGTTTATTGGTTTAATCAATATAATTAATTCCCCTTGGCATATTAACCATGAGATGCATGCATTAATATCCCAAGTTTACTACCGTTGAAAGAACCGGATTAATAACAAGCATATTAACCGATTGATTCTAGTAATAATTAATACGAGAAACAATACTAGTTGATACTTTAAGTAATGTTTAAGATATTAACATGAAATATGAATAGGAATTAATCAATACTCAAGGAAGAATATTAAAATATATGAATCCTACTATGATTAATATCAAGATGTTAACTAATTGTCATCTTAGCAACACTCCCCAATATAATCATAGAGGAAGAAATAGCTATTACTATAACCAATGTCAAGATGTTAACTAATTGTCATCTTAGTAACACTCCCCAACTTTGATATAGAGATAGTATTTTGAAAGAAAGAATTAATATTCAAAGAAGAAGATTAAAGAAAATAACTCACAACTTACAAATTCATTAAGCTTCAAAGTAGCAAAACCAAGATGGAAGGGTTTAGCTCCTCATTTGGAGACTAAACATGATGAAAAATATAAAGAAAGAGCTATTCTATACTGAGCTTAGATGTACAAGGGATTGAATATCTTTTTGTGAAGGAAAGGAGGTGTATTTATAGGTTTTTGGGATGGGATTCGGGTACTCGATCGGGTATATACATGGTACCCGATCGAGTATGTGTGTAACACCCGATCCGAGGCATACTCGACCGGTTTTAGGCTATTTTCTAAGTGTATACCCGATCGAGTATATATGAATACCCGGTCGAGTATGCTTAGAAAGTGGTATTCGGGCTATACTCGACCGATCTTCGTTTGCAATTTAAAGGCATACCCGATCGGGTATGTCGGTCTACCCGATCGGGTATAGACATAGAATCGTGGCCAAAATCTTCCCTGCATGTTCCTTTGTCTTCGGATCTGATCCGATTTGAAGTTCCAACCTAATACCCGATCGAGTATAGCTAATACTCGACCGAGTATAGACCAAAATTCAGGATATTCTTTTGTCTTTGAACTTTTGCACCTTCTCTTCACTTTTTGGGTTCACCAACTGTACTTTGGGTAACCAAAACCTGCTTAAGCTCAGAATATGTCTAATCTAACCTATTTACAAGAATTTAACAATCTAATCTATTACACCAAAAGTGTGTAATTTCCAAAGTAAAATTCAAGCAAAACTAATTAAAAACATAAACATAGAAATGGAAATTACGAACGTATCACTAGTTTATTTGTGTATACTGTCATTACTTTAAGGATGTTGTGATCAATTTTGTCGAATGGTTTAGCTTGAGTACAAAGATGTAGTTTAGGGAAGAATTTTCTTGGTTTAGATTGTCTTTTCTGTGAATATCCCTTTTAGCTACATGTGCATGCTAATTATTTTAATTCCGTGTGGTGATTATCGTAAGTCCCGTTGTTCAGTTTGCTTGAGGACAAGCAAAGGTTTAAGTGTGGGGGAATCTTATATGTCCGTATTTAGACACGCATTGGATTCATGTTGAGATCGGCTTTTGATGGTTTTCCTAGCTTTAAGGTGTTACAAGTCTCAATTTTTGCTCAAGTTATGTTTACCAGGCGTTGGATCGAGTTTTATGTCATTTGGAGTCAAAATCAGGGAACTTGAGCCCAGCACCGGCGCTTGAGGAGCAAACGGGATGATTCGAGAAGCATTCAAAAGTGAATTGAGAGCACTGGAGGTCACCGGGAGGTTTACAATGAAGATTTGAAGACAAAAGAGCTCTAGGATTGACTACATGATTAAAAGAAGACAAAGAGAGCTTGAAAACGGTGTTCTGGATGACCTTCTGTCAATCGTTCAAGAATATATCTTTGTGGAAGCATTCAAAGGACACTATTCAAGTTGAATCTGAAAGCCAATTTCAAGGTCTACAAATTATATGAAGACACCATTTCGAGAATCTGAGAGGAAGAATGTGAAAACAGTCGATGAAGTCAGATGATCCCTGTTGCGATTTCAGAATGAGATCTTCCACCATTGAATTCATATCTATTGATTGGATGATTCAAATCCAATTCGGCAAGTTGTGGTGGATAGAGGACTTCATGATCTAAAACTTTCATGAAGGCAGTTTTGTCAAATTCGGACTATAAAAAAGGCTGAAGAACACGGATGCACGACCGTGCGTCTGGGACGCACGATCGTGCGTAAGAGCCAAAACCGTGGAGAAGCTACTGCCTGCTACGCACGGTCGTGCGTAGCCATGGACGCACGGTCGTGCGTAGCCATGGACGCACGATCGTGCGTAGCCCCGAGTTACGCGCGGAAATTTCCCACATCGACCAGAATTGTGATTTTTCCCCTCTTTTCTATAAATAAGACCTCCCTAACCCTTTTTAGGGGGGACGAACATTACAGAGAGGCCTAGGGACGAATTTAACACCGTTTTTACGCTATTTTCTTCCAAGACCCTGGGATTATTTGTAAGTTCATCTTTTTAATTAATGACAATTTATTCTATTCTTCCCAATTCTGTTGATTCTTCAATTATGAATTGTGAGTAGTTTAATTAGGGATTTGGGATTGATGAAGGAGTTAATCATGATTGATGGCTAGATTCTTTTCGTTTTAATTGCATGAATGCCGTTTAATTTGTGTTTGAATAATTTAACTGATATCTTTTGTAACCTGGAACCGCGGCTAGAATTACAATTGCACATAGAATAAATCAAGAGAGATCTAGTTTATTCTAGGACACATTCACACACACTTAATCGTTTGCTAAGAGATTAGTAGCGATTAAGGGGCCGTAAGCTCGTTCGTCTTGGCAATAATTTAGGATCCTGTCGCATGAGAGATCAGCCTGGTCCCCTAAATTATTGTACTCTACGCCGCGAGAGCGGTAAGAACTTAGTATTGATTAGCTAGGCTCAATTAAATTAATTTCATGTAATTAGGCCTGATCTGCCAGAAATCTGATTACCCCGGAATCAATCCCTGTTCCACGTCCATGTGCTTGTTAATTGACTTAAGAAGTAAGAACTAACTATAAATATATGTGTCCATTGAAAATCGCCCAACTCATCAAGTGCAATGAGTTGCCTCTCATAATATATAGATGTGCCCACGAAAAAAACAAGCTCTTAGTGCAATGAGTTGCCTCTCATAAAACTGCCCATTTCGATATGACGCGGGCAGTAAGTACAATGAAATTTTTCAAATAAGATCGGCCATGGAATAGAAACGGCACCTGCCAATTAAGGACTATGCCTTGGGTACACAATAAGTGTACACTTTTTGTCCTTGTTTACGGGTGATTGAGAGACAAATGCTGCCTCTTTCATAACCAATTGCATTTTTAGAACTCAGAGGGTGGTGTACCTTAACCATTTTTGGCCAATTAGTCTTTCCGCCACAGTCGGATCCATCTGTACTTGGATCTCGAGCCTGATTCAAATTTCAAAGGGGGCCAGGTTTGGACCCCAGGGCTAACCAGAAACGTACAATTCGTTGTCTTTCTTATGTACTATTGGCTCCAGTTGTCAACTTGAAGATAGATTTACCAAAAAATCTACTCCCTCCGTCCTTAAATTATCTTCAAACTTTCCTTTTTCGTCTGTCCCAAAATTATCTCTTCCCCCTTTTAGCAAAAAATTTGTGGTTCACAACCATTCTTACACATTCTTACACATTTCTCTCTCCTCTGCACAACTCTTCACCACACAAATCCCACTATCTTAATAAATGTGTCCAGCCGAAAAGGGAGAAAGATTAGGGACGGAGGGAGTAGTGTTTTCGCTCAAACTTCTGTTTCTAGTCTAGACAAAAAGATCACCATTTGTTGTGGTCAAGAGTTCAAATTGTTAAATTTGGGCTCTGCTCATATGAAAACAGTGTTTAGACTTCGTCAATACTGTTTCTTCTTACATCTGTGCACTGTCAATAAAATACACTCAACATATTTTTTTACATATCTAATCAATAAAACATTAGTTAAATTATTATAAGTGATGTTTCCTTTTAATATTTCCCTAAATAATTATGATATAAAAAATACACATTTCAATGTAAAAATAAATAAATTTCATTACTTTCTTTTAAAGTTTTCCGGTTAACAAGAATGAACTTAGTTCACGTAAAGTTCGATTATGAAATATTCAGTTATTTGTGAAATGTCCATGAATTAAAATTTTGTGTTTCATGTTTTTTTGGGTTCTAGAAAACTTCAACAGTTAAAACTTCTGATTTTTTTCATTTTATATGTTACATATTGGTGTCATTGAAAAATCACGAAAATTCATGAATTTTGATATGCTTCTTGAAAATTTTAGAATACAAATAAAAAAAGTTATGAGTTTTAAAAAATTTGAGGTTTAATGACACACACATAACATCATCATTCTCGAGGATGATAGATACAACTGAAAACTTAGGCCTTATTCTTCATTTGTTTTAACTTCAAATTCAACATTGATCTTATAAGCGCGCAGGGGATAATGTATATCACTAAGATAGCTTGTTTCTCGTGACAAATGATTGCCTCTTTTAAATAATGAAAACCCACCGCTTGAAAATGTTCTTGTGTATTTAAAATAATGTTCTTGTGTATTTAAAACCGATCTCACTAAATAAAAGTGGGTAAACCTACTCTTGTGTTGGTCAAATTATATTTTATCTATAAATGGGTCAGTTTTTTCTCATGTCATATTCTTATGGTCTGACAAGAAATTTTACGTAGTAATTGAGTAGTTTGAACATTAAAAAATGAGCGGAATACATTTGGAGTACATATTGTACAATGTCTCACAAATCACAATGTCCTTCTTAGTAGAAAGAAAATCCAAAATGTAGATTTTTTAGAACTAAAAATACTCGGTATTACATATAAATGAATAAAATACTCCGTAAATGTTTTTACAAAAACGTGACTTACCAAGTACAGTGACCATGATTGTAACTTAGTTTTACAGAATTAAAACATTTTTTCATTTTTAGACTTAAATAAAGAGCTAATATTCATATTTGTGTAAATATGCATGTCCATAAGGTATAGCATAGGAACATACCGCCATACGCAATGTTCTATAGGCTATAATGCTTTCTTCCTTTCTCCTGGCCTATACATACATTTTGTGAGAATAATGGACAGACTTACCAGAATTGGTAGACCTGAGAGCTATATAAATAAATATTGAGTCTGAGAGTACAAGGGTTCCTACCAGAACTAGAATTCTATGAAAGTAATAATTATACATTATTACACTCCCTCAATCTGTGCATGAGGAACTACGTGCAGATTTTCATGAAGAAAAACAAAACGCTGTGGAGATAATTTTTTGTGAAAAAATATCTGCAAGATGGAACTGGGTAGGAACATAGCGAACTTGTAGATCTCCATGAGCAACTCCCACACGAACAAAATGATAATCGATGTTGATATGTTTACTGCGAGCATGCTGAATAGGATTTGCTGATAAATAAGATGCAGAAACATTATCACACAATAGTCGAACTAGATCACAAATAGATATATCAAGCTCAAATAAGATGGAGCGAATATGTAGAGTGTCATGTACAGCGGTGTAAGCAATGACTCTATATTCAACCTCAGTGGAATAACGAGACATAGTAGGCTGTTTCATGAAACTCCAAGATATTGAATTAGGACAAAGAAAAATAGCAGGTAGAAGTTTAAAATATTGATAAAAAAGACTTTAGATTTTAGATCATATTTTTGTCTTTTCAATTCATTTTACTAATATTGACAAAAAAGACTTTAGATTTTAGAGTTAACTAAGATCATTATTCACCTTTCCAACTAATCAGCGTCTAGAGGTAGAAGTAATTTTCTCTAAAAGAAAAAAAATCGACATCTCGCCAGTGAAATAAATAGTCAGATTTTAGGCTGGTGTGACTTGGACAACTCGCCGGAATTTGAATCCCTACTATCCTGGGTATCTGCATGCGCCAGTCCCTTCGTTGACTCGGATGCGACGTCGACAGATTTCTCCATCTCCACCGCCATGGTCGCCGCTTGAGCTTGCTCTTTGAACCTCTTGTATATGTCACCCTGGTAGAATTTTCTTGTCCTAATCACCAGTATCGAAGATACCACGACACTAACAGCTGTAGCAGCAGTGATTATTAGAAAAGCCGTTTTATAACACTCCACTCCTGTGCAAGTCAAATCTCGGCCGCCCCCCAGTGCGGCGGCGGCAAGACCCTTTGCAGCTCTGAGCTGCCTCCTCGCCTCTTTATCGTACAAATGTCCGGCCACTCTCACGTTGAGGAGGTACGCGCCGACCGGGCTGGCCCCGCCTCCCAAATTGTACAGAGTCGAGTAGTACTTGAGGCCGAAGAGTTCCGATATGATGGCGAAGATCAGCGGCCATTGAGCCCCGAAGCAGAAACCCATCAGGATGGAGGCGACGTACAGAGAGTTCGGGACGGCGTAGGCAATGAGGAGGTGGCCGACGCAGGAGAGGAGGAGAACCGCCGTGAGCATCAGCGGGCGGGGGAATTTGTACTTGGTCAGAAAGATTTCCGACACGAATCCGGCGACCACTCGTCCCAGGTAGTTCCATATGCTCACCAGTGACACGAACGTCGTGATGCTCTCCGCCGGGTACCCTTGCGCCTTCCCTATCTGCCCGAGGTTGTCGATGGCGGTCAACGTCCCGCCGACGCCGAACATCGTCGCCGTGAACAGAGAAATCATGTCGATGCTGAACAGGGCTTGCAGTATGGTGTAGTCCTCTCCTCTCGGCGGCGGGCTGAACACGTTCTTGAAACAAGAAATCTGCTCCCCACCGGCGGCGGTGGCCGCCGCCACCTGTTTGCTGATTTCAATCTTCAGTACCTGAGAAGTAGCAGAAGGAGAAGATTCGTTTCTTAAATTGCGCTGTTTGGTTTGCCAGAGATTGAGCTCCTCCCTGAACACGAGAAACAGAGGGGAAAAGAGTAAAATGAGAACGACGGTGCCACTCCCGGCGTACAACGGCCGGGTAAACGCCACTCTGTTCTGTACGATTATTATGGCCATTAAAAACCCGGCCAAGCCGAGGGATATGAAGAGGAGCTTGTAGAAGATCTGGATCTCGTTGGTTTGACGAACCAGCTTGATGTCACGCACTGTCCTGAGAAAAACGAAGGAGACAGCCGCCGGCAACCATCCGATGAGCAGAATCAGAGATTTCCCGTCGTTATTGCCGTAAAAAGCATGGTATAACTGCGTGATGATTGCGCCGCTCAGACCCACAAATCCTTTCAGCAGTCCCAAGACAACTCCCCTGCTTTCCGGGAAGCTCTTCACGCAAGTGACCAACGAACCTGTGTTTGCAAAAGTCTGGGAATTGGCTCCGATGCATATATACAGACACACCTGCCACAGCTTCGGTTTCGCTACTTTCCCCGTCACGGCCAGCCATATCATGAAGTAGCCGAAGAAGTTCATGAGTGCTCCGGCGAGGAGAACCACCCACGGCGGAGTGACCTCGTTTATGAGGCCGGAGATGATACCCACGTTTCCTCCCAAGTCTTTGAAGAAGCTGATCAAATTTAAGGTTGTCTGGTCATATCCCAGTGAGGACTTGATCTCCCCTGAATACAGACCGAACATGTAGGTTGAGCCGGCCATGGACATGATGAGAAGGGAGGCGAAGACCATGAACCACCGGCCGGTGAGGACGTGGAGGAGGAAGTTCCCCATCGCTTTCTGCCCCCTACCTCCATTACTCACCTCGCCTACTACCATTTCCTCAAAAAAACTACCTAGCTGGCGTAGTTGCTACCTACAGTTCAAGATGGAATTGAAGGACGATTTATTGGATATCTTTAAATTTTTTCGTATCAGTGTGATGGATTTAATTATAGGGCTGTGGACCGGCCGGTTTAAGGCATCTCCCTGAGAAGACCGAACCTTGGTTTTTTAAGTGAGATGAAATTCAACATTCTGCTGTACAGCACCTTTGACTCTAACGTGTTGACTATATTTGTGATGCATTTAATCTTAAATCTATCCCAGATATGCAATTTCGGTTTCCAAGATTAAATGATAAAGTTGAGTTGAAGAAACAATTACACACGTAAATATATTACTCCCTCCGTCCCATATTTAATTCGAGTTTTGACCGGACACGGGTTTTAAGATAGTGAGATTTGTGTGGTGGAGATTTATGCAGAGGAGAGAGAAATGTGTAAGAATGATTGTGAACCACATATTCTTTATCAAAAAGGGAAAAAGGAGATAAATTTGGGACGGACCAAAAAGAAAAGAATGAAGATAATTCCGGGAAGGAGGGAGTACAAAAATAAAATTTGTGGGAAAAAATTGTGAGCTCTTAGATATATAAAGAGGTTACATTATTAACTTTTACCTACTACAATCATTATGTTACACTCGCAATAAGTACAAGTACACACCTTATACTTTTGTTCATTCATTTGATTTTAGTAATTTTTGACCAAAAATCTCTAAAATATAGTTAAATTTATCTAGAAATATGTTTCTTAATCATAAAAACCAACGAATCAAATTAAATGAGCAAATCGTTCGCTAGCTGGTTTACAATAGAATGAGGAATAAAACCACAAGTGACCCTCTAATCTAAGACAGTAACGTGTGTTTTAGCTAAAACATGAGCAGCACGATTAGCGAATCGTCTACAAAAAGAGATTAGAAAATTTCTTTGTTTCTAAAACTATAAGATGAATGTCACCCTTTTTAATCCCTTGAACAAGAGTGACTACATCCGTCTCAATCTCCACTTTACTCCATCCTTCCTCTAGTGTTCCCAAAATCGCATCCGTGATGCTGGAAGCCTCCGTCTCTGTCACTGACCAACCCGCTGCGCACGACGTTCCTTGAGCCTTGATAAATTCACCATTCTCATCTCTCGTCACCAAACCCAAGGCCTGAATGCCTCAGCTTGATTCACGGTCCCATCCACATTAACCTTAATACAACCTGTGCGAGGTTTCTTCCATTTCTCCTCCCCAACCCCAATCTGTTCGGTCTTGGCCGTGCCAGCCTACTAAGCTTCCTTCCAACAGGCCATCATACTTGCAGCCATGTTAATCACAATTGTCGCTTCGTGCTTTTGATCCTTTCAAACCGTGTTGTTTCTTCTCTTCCATATGCTCCAAAGAATGGACACAAACCCGCCCGGCCTCCCTTCTTTATATGTAGTTGAAAGCCTCTCTCACAATCACTCTTCCACTAATTGAGACTCCTCCATCGGAACTCCCGCCTGCTGCCACACCTCACGAACCCAGGTACATGATCTTACTGCATGGTCCAATGACTCCGATGCCTTGCCACATAACTTGCATCCGTTATGAATCTCCACCCCTTTCCGTCTTAGGTTATCAACGGTTGGTTTAGTTCCATCCAAAACTTGCCATGCAAAATATTTAAATTTTGGAGGCTTCAAGCTCCCATAACTGTTTCCATCCATCCCAATTTTCGGCCTGAATCTCCCCCACTAAGAGTCTGTAACAACTCTTGACAGAAAACACACCACTATTTTCCCCGGTCCACCGAAAACCATCTTTTTTATCTTGAGCACTAATAGGAATACTAAGAATTTTGTCTCTATCAGTCTCATTGAACAAAAATAAGATTTTATTTCTATTCCAAAACTTTCCTTCTTCATTAATCAGCCACCATTCCTGCTTTGCCAACATAGCCAGGTTAAACTCCCTAAACCGTCTAACTCACAATCTGTAGCACCGTCCCCAAGCTTATTTACTTTTAGTAAATTATGTAATAAACCTTGAAAGATGATTTATGAATTTGCGTAATTGTAAATTTTTATTATTTCTTTTACGTGAATAGTAAATTGCATGTGGGGCCCACGCCGGGACCGGGGGCCGCCCGATAATTCTTGAACCACATATCATATTCATCTTGGTCTAGATAATATGTATATGGTGGTGGATATTTTATTTGGGCCATGGAACAGGCATGGAGCTGACCGGGTTGGTCAAACGGGGCCCAATTACCGGTATTGGTAATTTAGCGGATAACAACCCGAAATGAGTTTCGGAGACTCCTAAATTAATGTTGGGGAATGTACATCTATTCTAAAGGCCCATAATTATTAGGAACGCGTGATATAATTTATCCGGCCCGATAAAATAAAATATGACTAAAATAGTCCGAAAAATACAACTTTCGGGGCCGATTGTACATACCGGGACATAATGGGATGACCTCCCACATAAGTGGGGGCCACCCCACGTTTTTAGGGGTGCTGATTGACCAAATAACATGGGAAGGACGGATGATGGAAATGGGAAGTCTCAATTGAGACAAAACCCACACCCCTCATGTCATATCCCCCATAATATGATGGTGTTGGTTGAGATGAACCTCTCCCCTACCCATCTTACAACCATTCAGCCAGCACAAGAGAGATAAGGTCCAGGGAAAAAGGCTCTCAAGGTTCTGGAGCTTGAGAAACCAAGAGGAGAGAAGGATCCAAGAAGAAAAGCTAAGAATTGAGGTAAGAGTCCAACTTGTATGCATTAACTAGTTTTATCATGTATGATTTGTAAGAAATCATATAGTTGATTAAACATGATGTTCTACACGTTTAAAAGTGTAGAATATTGTTATAAAGTGGTGTTAATTAACTTAGAAGGGTTGGCAAATCGATAGGAGTCGAAACCGCCGGAAACCGCCACTCCAAAGGAGCTGTTCGTAGCTGCAGACTACGAAAGCCGCCCGGCTTTCGTGAAAGCCGCCCGGCTTTTGTCCAGGCAGTCCAGTTTTGCCTTCTTATCGGTTTAAAACGAGGATTAATCGGGGAGCTTAACAAAGGCAACTATTTCAGCACATCATAAGGTGAGGATGGCTGACTATATTGCTTATAGTTAGTGAGTTAATTTCATTTTTTTTTTTGGATAAAATGTAAATATAGTGAGTTAATTTCATGAGATTACCGAAGGTAATTAAATGTGTTTTTATGGATTATTAATGATTAATAATGCCTAAAAAAATGAAAAGACTAATGTCTGAAGAAAAAGGAGCATGATATACAAATTTAAGAGTAAATTGTGTATGATCATGTGTTATGAATAGGTTGACTTGAAAGTGGAATTAATTATGAAACGTATGTTGAAATATACTTTCTCTTCATATTAGAATATATGGGTGATTAAAAGTGATATTTTGAATATTGAGATAAATGACATTTTCCAAGGAAAATCAGTTGGAATTGTCTATATGACTATGAGTTGAGAACTTGGTTTATTGGTATGAATTTGACTAGTATTAAGATACTAGTTGGACATTAAAATGAAACGTTGTTAAGATTGATCCTAAGATTTGATTGTGAAATGTTATGCCTTAAGTAGTCTTGAGAGATGCTTTAAGGTAGGAAAGTATGAACTCTAGGTTATACTAGGGGTAGGCCTTAAGGGATACCCAAGATAAAGTAAGTAATAAATTGATCCTAAGTATAGGATTGGCCTACGGGTGTGTTCGGTAGTCCTTGTGGATAGCCGGTCGAATTATGGAAATAAGTAAGGACCATGGCCCTTCCTGACTCTAGAGAGCGGGGTTGGATAGCATGGACTTACATCGTGATCACGGGTTAGGGTGGAATCCGAATCGGAGACCTAACTAGGTCCCGGTAGCGGTAACACATAAGATAGGACCCCAAAGGGCCTTACCTTCCTACGGGATGATGGGTATGAGTCCAGGGGCGGGATGTTGGAGTCCGAACCGGGAGCCTCATGAGGTCTCGGACAGCGGTAGCAAGTCCCGTAGAAATAATAAGACCCAAGGGTTGGGTTGTGTAAATGATAAATGAAAAGAGATATATAAGAAGGGCCGTGTGCCGACAAATAAATGAACTTACTTATTGTAAAGATAATAAGTGGGAAATATAAATTATTATTTATATTATGATATCACCATATTTTGAGGGTCTTGGGAATTAAAACGTTGATTATACTTAGTATAGTTGTTATTGTACTTGTCAAATGTTTCCAAGTACTGACCTCCCCTTCACGGGGGAGGCCACCTCACAGTTTCAGGTAGAACTTGAAGGTTGCTACCATTGCTCGTTGCTTCGGGAGGATCAAGGGAAGAAGACGTGGTTCGTGCTTCTTCCGTTCTGTTTTAAAAACAATTACGTTAATGCTCATGGATACTATTTTCTGAATAATTACTTTGGGGGCTTGTATGCCTAGTTATGCCAAGTGTGGCTTGAACAATTGTATTAATGCTTCCGCTGTTTTAAATGCATGTTTTACATTATGATTGTTTATGGATGTACTATGTGTGAATGATATTCATGACGCCTTGTATAGTATGGATGAGTTGGACTGCGGTTGACTATTCGTACTGTACGGTAGGTTGTTGACGTGTCCGGCTAGGTCCGGGGCGTGACAATTCAATTGGTATCAGAGACCTTAGTCCGTAAACATCATAATGAAGCTTCAAAATTCTTTTTGAAAATGAAATTTAAAACCATGAGCATAAGAAGTTTTGTACTTATAGAACTTTTGATACTTGAGTTGCAATGTCTCTAATTGTTAAGATACCCTTAGAGATGTCTTTGAGCCAAAAGATGTCTTTAAGTGCCTATCCGTCAATTGACATTTGATACGAGTCTAACGACTCATTCTAAATTTCTTTCAGAAATGGAACGTACCGGGAAAGTTACTCGACGGAACCCAACTGGCCAAGCACCGGGAGGATCCCAATGTGGAAGTCGGGGAGGATCGAGGGTGTCTAGGAGACAAGGCCGTACAGGCCACTCACTGACCGTGAGTGACGGTCATGTGGAAACTATAGACGAGCACTATGAGTCCGAG